CCAACACCCCTGGATTGCAGTCGGAGATTGGAACACAACACCAGAACGACTATGGGCTTCAGGTTGGCCGCAGGCTATTGGCGCCGACATCGCCACGATCCCAGACGGCTACACCTGCTTCACCTACAACAGCAAGAAGGGCACCACTACGGCTTCACTCATCGACTACGCACTGGTCAGCCACGACGCCCGCAAGTACTTCATCGGCTTGGAGGCGACAGCGGCGCCGTGGAAAACCCACATTGGACAGACCTTGCGAATCCGAGGAGCAGCTAAATCAGTTACGATACGGCAACTCCAGCTGCCCACCCACTTCACGCACCCACCAGCACCACCCAAAAAGCCCAACCCCGACAGCAAGCGACAACGACAGAAGCGACAAACGGAAGCACACCACATTCCAGACGCCCAACACAACCACATCGACATAGACAAGCCCGACTATGACACGCAGTACTACTCAGAACTCACTACTGAAATGAACAGGCGATGGGAGGACCTCGGAACATCTGCCCGAGGACCGACGCCACCAGCTTCTACGACACGGAGTATCAACATGGATCAGCAGGATTATGACCCCATGAACGATATCGACGATGTCAGCAACCACGACTTCAGCATTGAGGGGCCTCCAAACGAGTCTTCGAATTTCCTTCCGACCGACTTGGTTTCTGGAGAGCCGAAGAGCGACCCCTTCGAGTCCCAGGCCGACCTCGAGCTGGAGGCAATAGTGAGCGCACCTGAGAAGGCGGACAGGACGTCCTCTCAAGAGCCCTCCCATCCAGGTGCGCAGACAGCCGCGAACATCGTCGACACGCGCGCCATGGACGACTTGTGGGAAGTCTCTCGGATGCTCTCGAGACCCCGACCCGAGTACACACAGCCTCCACCCTACATCCTGAACGGTGCGGCGTACCTGGCGGACCCACAGGCGGCCAGCACGCTCGGGCAGGAGTACGGCATCTTCGTGAGCACCCTGGAGCACTTCTACTGCGCTGCCTACGCCATCCAGCCCCAAGATCGACACCGGTTTACTGGGAGGGGCCGCGCGCGAACGTTGACGTCCAAGAAGGCCACGCCACGTACGAGACGAACTCACTACAGCAACAAACAGTCCGACTGGTGGGGAAAGCTAGCCACGACATTGCGAGCCTACCTCACCCTACGACAACGCGGACATGGCACACGACAGCAACACCAACTGGAAGTAGCAGCACGACAACTGGTATACGACGGCATCCCCACTGGAGGGGCACGACTCAATCCTACAGCTACTCTGCATCGGGACTTGTGGGCGGACCGACTACGACGACTACCCACCCTTGGTATGGAGACACTGCAGGGCATGACAGACCAGGCCGAACGTGAAGTACACAAGGCCATGAAGTTCGACATGCGAGCACGCTCACGTAAATTTATGATATGGCTTACTGACACCACCAAGGCCACGCCAGGCAAGCTACACAAACTAACCAAGCCACAACCACGACACGAAGACGAGTACGTACACGTCAGGGGTAAAGCTTGCTGCCCCAAGTCCATCATCGACGCCAAGACGGACGAGTTCAGGGAGCTGTGGACACACCGCGCACTCACGCACCAGGACTACGTCGACATCATCAGAGACGTCAAGGACCACGCCAGCTCAGCACCAGCATCACACTGGACCCTCGACGATCTGGACTACTCACTGCGGTGCTCCCCAGACAAGGGAAAGGGCACTGACAAAATCACGAGCTCCGACCTGCGACGACTCCCGCAGGCGGGGCGACAACAACTCGTAGACCTGTTCAACAGCTGCGAGCGCGCCCTCGCCTGGCCATGGCAACTGCAGAGCACCATCATCATGCTCCAGCCAAAGTCGGAGGGCGATCGGGCACTTGGACTACTGCCACAGATATGCCGAGCGTGGGAGAAGCTTACACGACCGACAGTGGACAAATGGGTACGGGTTGCAGGGCGACATTGGGACGCGGCCCTTGCGGGCAGCAGCTGCCTGCGAGAAGCCGCTGCTCGCATCTTGGGCGACGAAATCAACGATGCACTCCAACTGACCCACGCCACCACATTGGCAGACACACGCAGGTTTTACGACACGCTGGACCTGCTGCAGGTGGTGTACGCGACGCGCCATTTGTGGTTCCCACCTCGCGTCCTCGCACTAGAGCTCCAGCTCCATACGTTCGTGCGATTCCTACGCCAAGCATCCACCTACGCAACCCAATCCTGCCTTCCCGTTCGCTAGTGGCAGGATCACGACACGCCAACAACCTAGCACGAGCAGTCATGTACCAAGTGCTCCACCGCATGCACTACGAAGTACTAGCAGCAGTACCACGAGCATGGTTCGACGACGTAGAACTCAGATCTACAAGCAGCAAGAGCCACGTTACGGACACTACGATTCACGCCACCATCGCCTACGCGCGTTGCCTGAGCGAGCAGGGCTTGGAGATGGCTGACAAGAGCGTGATCATCAGCTCCGACATGGCAATGACACACGAGATACGCACGCAGATACGCAACCACGGCATCGAAATCAAGGCAGCGTCTGTGGGCCGCGACCTTGGACAGGATCGGGCAGGACGTACGCCAACGAGCCGACCGACACACAACAAACGACGACGACTCGCAGCGGGGCGACTACACAGCATCCGACTGAAGCTTCGACGACTGCGAGCACAGCGGAAGCGAGCCCTCATCACACAGGGCCCCATGGCGTCCTACTTGTATGGCTGCAAGATCTACGGTGAGGCACCCACAGCAATAACGACAGCGAGACGACGGTGCGCCAAGGCACTTGGCAAGCATTGGGCAGGGCGATGTCTCCACACGTACCTCACCCTGGCCGACGCCGACCCAGCAACCGCCATCCTCCGCGGCGTGCTGGACACCTGGTTCGACGTTTGGAGCAGACGACCTCAACTTCACCAGGGAGCGCACCAGGCATGGCCCATCATCTACCAACGCCTCCACAACGTGCCGCCCGTCTACCGCTGGAAACAGCGAAGGGGCCTCATCGGTACAGTAATATTACCATTATGGGAAATTGGTTGGGACGCACTCTCACCAACGGATTGGATTGTCAATCAGGGTAACACATGGCAGATGGGCGACGAGGACTACCACGGAGACCCTGCCGATGTCATCCACGCCATCATGGAAACGTACCAGCTCCAGCACTGGGCCAAGGCATCCCAACATTGGCTTGGCAAAGGCTCCGAGCTTGGCATCGACACCTACGACCTGAGCAGGAAGTTGCGCAAGCTTCGCAAACAAGGCAAGTACCACGACGCAGGCATGTTGACAGCAATCGCGTGTGCGGCGATGTGGACACCAGCAAGGAAGAGCCACCTGTTTGACGACGTAGACAACAAATGTGAATGCGGTATGGTATGCGACGACCTACACCGAGTATGGGGCGACTGCACAGCACGCAACGAAGACCACGACGACTACACGCGAACAGCCACACTACAACGACGAGCGATCGAGGGCAGCCACAACGTGCCATGCTTTTGGCTACGAGGACTGGTGCCAAGAGCGTGGACGACACCACCAGACTGCAGCACCACCAACCAGCCAACCGACATCAGCACCGACGAGACTGCCAGCACCGACACAAGCAACGACGACGCCACCACCATCATCAGCACCGACGGCAGTGGGGGTGAGCACGCGACGGACCCACGATACCGACGCTGTGGATGGGGATGGACGATGCTATCGCAACACGACGGAGCATGGAAGATCCAACGAGCACAATACGGACCTCTACCTGGACGACGTCAGACCAACAACCGTGCGGAGTTGTGGGCCATCGTGCAGGCAGTGAGGTCAACCAGCGGGAAGGCCATCGTATGGACCGACTCGGACGTGGCCATTCGCGGATGGCAGCGAGGACACCACAGCCGACCAGGTCAACGACGCAACAACCGAGACATCTGGGACGAGATGAACTCGGTCCTTCGAGCCCGCAGCCCAGAGCTCGAGGACCCGTCCGAGCTGGTGACCCTGCGGCACATCTCCAGCCACCTGGAGGCCGAGGAGATGCTGGCGCGCCGCCTGGACGAGCAGGCTTGGCTCGGCAACGCGGTTGCAGACGCCCTCGCCGAGCGCGGTGCAGCACAGCACGCGCTACCGAGCGGGCAGATGCGCATGTACGAGTGGGCACGAGCGACCGCTGCGCTCGTGTGGAAACGACTCCTTAGAGCCAATTCCGATGCCGTCGCTCGAGATCCGTCGTCCCAGGAAGTCCAGGAGAAGACCGAGGCGAGGAGGAAGAGGACACAGAAGGACAGTGAGCTGAGCCAGGCCCTCTCCTCCTCCCCTCACAACCTCCTCCACTCCCGCAGTAGGTGGCAATGTAGGTTTTGCAACGAGGCAATTAGCAAACAAGCGGGACACCCGACGATCAGGAGATGGCTCCGTGTTTGTAAGCCCCTTCCCCGGGGTAGTTTTTCGGACCCTGGGAGGGGGAGTTTTCAGCACAGCATCCAGATTGGTAGTAGAGCAGTGTATTCATCGCACACCATGGAATATGCTGAGCATGCCTCCATATGGTGGTGCAAGATATGTGGCCGTCGTGCCAAAGCGTTTGACGGGGGTAGCGTAAAGGGGCTTTTCGAACCTTGCGACCCCCCACTAAGAATGGGAAGTACGTAATTTCAAGACTGTCTCAGGGCAAGGATATACCGCACTAGCTCCCGTGCCCAGGTTTTCGGAATCCCTGCGGCCTCTCGGGAACTCTGTGCTGCGCTAGGGGCCCCAAGCGTTTCTGGGCTCCCGAAGCGGCACCCGCCTAGGCGAAACTCGACAGCGTCGTCGCCGAATTCTCCCGAATTCTCCTCCTCCTCCTCCTCCTCCTCCTCCTCCTCCTCCTCCTCCTCCTCCTCCCTCTCCTCCCTCCCCCTCCCTCCCCCCTCCCTCCTCCCTCGGCCTGCCCCCCCCCGCTGGCAGCAGGCGGCCGCGAGGGGGAGGGCCCGACCGAGGGCGCCGTCCTTCTCCTTGCCCTCGCCGGCGTCCGCCCCTGGCCGGTCCTCCTGCGGGGAGGCACACGTCGTTCTTTTCGAGGCGTGCTCGTTTTGACTACCTACTCCTTGGGCGATGCTTAAGAAAACTCAAGTTTTCGGCCAGAGTCTTGATTTTTCTTAACGTTTCCATGTGAATCCTAAGATTTCAATGGAGATGTTGGGTTTTTCTCCAAGTTCTGAGGCTATGAATTTCTTAACCCATGATTTCTTAAGCATTTCGCGTGGTGTACTCCAGATTTCGTAATAAAGGGAGGGGGGTCTCATTTCGGGGGGGGGGGTCTCTTCCAGGCTATCTTGGAGGGCCTGGTGAGGGGGTCTGGGGACGACGTTTTGGAGGGTTCCTCCCACGGGGGGGGGTTAGAACTTCTCGTCTGGGAGGGTTGAGACCCCCTCCCTTTTCTTACGAGATCTGGAGTACACGTCGTTCATTTCTCATCGCGCTCGCTTCTAATGGTGGTCGTTCCTAATCGTTCCTGGCCCCCTATAGTGGCCAGGAAGAGGCCCAGGATCGAAGAATCAGAAATGAGCGGAGCTTGGCCCCCCAAATCCTGCGGGGAGGTACACGTCGTTCTTTTCGAAGCGTGCTCGTTTGGACTACCTACCAGACCACCCCAACCCAACCCGAAGACCCGAATTTCGGGTTGGGGGGGTATGGGTTCCATGCGTGTTTTTGTCGATGTTCCCCGACCCCCCCCCACTGGAGATGGATGGCAAATCGGGGCCTTCGCGTTGGGTTGGGGTGGGTTGGTGGGTGGTGACGTTTCTAATGGTGCTCGTTTCTAATCGTCCCTGGCCCCCTATAGTGGCCAGGAAGAGGCCCAGGATCGAAGCATAAGAAATGAGCGGAGCTTGGCCCCCCGAATCGGGGATGGACAGACCTCCCTTGAGAAAAACGTGGTTTAGTGAAAACGACCTGCGGCCCAAACCTGGCGGGCGCAGGCCTGGAAAATAACGGCCACGGCGCCCTCTCGAGAACCGAAAACGGACAATTCACTAATCGACGTGTCACTGTTGGGGGTTCTGTCCACCCCCGACCAAATAACCAAAGAACTCTCGAATACTTAGGAATGAGCAGTGTGTATGCCATCCCGAGCCCGCGCGGCGTCCGGAGCCCGCTTGACCGCCGAGCGGGCAAGCGAGCGGGCCAAGGCCCAGATCTCCCGCGACACGGTCAGGGCACTGGACAAGTGGTCATTGGAGAAGGGATCGAGGATCTGAAGGCTGGGCCCAGACGTGATGAAGTCGTGACAATAATCGAGACCGGAGCTTTTGGCTATTTTCGGCCCCGGGGGGTCCTCGCCGGGCCTCGGGACCGTCAAAAAGCGGCTCAGACCGAAGAACTGGTCCTTGGGAAACAGTCTGGACTTCCAGGGACGCCGTCCTGACAAAAATCAGGACGTCGCATGTCTGGGGGTGGAACACCAACATAACGACGAACAAGAACGGGTCATTCCGCAAGATGGCATCGCGACCTTACGCGGTGGATTACGCGGGTCACCAGCGCGGCACGCCACATTGAAAACGAGGGCGCATACGCGCGACCTCACACGGGACGCTGACGCGCCAATGTCAATGCAGACGACCGCGTTGTTCTACGTCCCTCCCTTCGAGCTCGGCCATGGATATCACCGCCGCCCTCATGAGATAAGGGTCTGAATCCTTCTGGGCACACTCCTGAACGAACGCCCCCACCGAATGATTCGTTCAACCAGCGTTTGTTCTTTCATGTCCGGCCTTCGGAGACCATCTTCGAGCCCGGGAGCCACAAAAACTGGATCCAGGACGCGAAACTAGCCCCACAGAAGAGGTCGGGACCTCCAGGGCCGCGGATTGGAACCTCACACCGAAGCATGGTCGGGGGATTCAGTCTCGACGGGCACAGATCTCCTCTCGTCGAGAAAAGAGCGACGGGAGATTCGTTGTCGTTTTTGCGGCTCCCAGACATCGGCCTGCCCCAATGTTTTCGATGCATGGGCCCCGCGCAGGTGCAGACCACTTCCCGTGGGCCGGGTTTCCGTCCTGAGTCGCTTTGAGGGCGCTCCCAAAACCGCCGTCTCAAAACCGCCCGCTCCAATTTTCTTTTGGGGCGTCGGATCTCTGGGCGCCCACGGGCCCTCACCAGGCCCCCGGGTCGTCCAAGAACGAGGAGGAGGAGGAGGAGGAGGAGGAGGAGGAGGAGGAGGAGGAGGAGGAGGAGGAGGAGGAGGAGGAGGAGGAGGAGGAGGAGGAGGAGAGGAGGGGGGGGAAAGGCTGGACCCAGGGCAGAGGTCCAGAGGCCTCTGCGGGCCCACGTTGGGACCTCCGTCACGACGCGCCGGGGACTTGAGCCCGCTGGGCCGCCGAGAGTGGCCTCGATATGCTGGGAGGGCTCGACGGATCCATCACGCCGTTCGGTCGGCCAAGTGCGGGCCTCAGGAGTATACACCACCACCACTACTTTGAGATTCCTCCTCGCCCCTCTACCCTCCTGTTCCTGTCCTCCTTCCTGGGAGGGGGAGGGGGTGAGGGAGGTGGCGGAGGTGTTACATGTGTGGGCCCCGTACCCTGGGGCCCGCTGTGGCCCAGGGGCCAGGTGTACAGTCGGCCATTTGGGCGGGGGCAACGGGCCGGGAAAACATACCCACCTTCACTCGTACCCAGGTTCCACTGGTTCGGGAAGGTGTTCCGCATTTTTTGGAATGCTATCCCGCGCAGTATTCTGTGCGTACCGTTTCATGGACCTACTCATGCACGGTCGCCTGTCGCTCGGGGGGGCTCTGTCTATTCGCTTAACGCTGTGGCATGACCTCAGGGGCCACGGAAACACGCGGCACATATTCTTTGCAACGTGCGTGCAAATGTGCAAACGCTAGAACACGCGTGTGTTTTTCACTCGGAAAGATTACGGTGGGCAAGCACAAGTGCACTTCTGTTGACGTTTTCTGACACCCGCGCAACCCCAACGCGCAATGGGGCAAACACGCGCGCGAAGGGGCCATTTTTTTCTTAATGCACCAACGGCTGACACCAAACACATTGGGAAGCGAACCAATCGATGAGATTATTCCTTTACGTCTTAACAACGACGTTGTACCGATCCTCATCAGTAGTCGTTCCCACGACCGCACATGAAGGGGGCTCACGCATAGGCGCGCTTGCTGTTGGCATTGTTTCTGCGCCTCGGCGCGTCCACGTCGGGGGCGAGCAGGAGGGCAAGAGGGGGGAGGGGGAGTGGCAAGAAGGGGAAGGGACACGGAAGGGGAGGAGGGGGTGGTCCCAAAGGTAGAAGTTTCAAACACGCACCCCCCAGGAGGGCCTCGAACCGACGAGGTTCCAAGTTCGAATTTCGAAGTGCGAATTTCGAAGTTCGGAGTTCGAACTTCGAACTTCGGACTTCGAACTTTTAACTCTGAATCTTCTTTTTTGGAAGCCCCCCGCCAAAAGGAGCGGGGCGGAGGAAGACAGGGGGGCGGGGGAGGGGGGGGGGGAAGGGGGGAGAGCGCGCAGGGGGCGGAGAGGGGAGGGCGGGCCTGGCTTTTCGCGCTCGGGGGAAGGAAGGAGGGAGGAACAGGGAGAGAGGAGGGGGAGGAGGAGGAGGTGGAAGGCTCAAACGAGGCCGAACGGCATCCATGAAAGTAATGTTTCTTTTTTCAGCTCCAGGAGCGCGGCAGGCCGCAGTCGACAACGAGGCGCCGACGTGCGCACAGCGTCAGGCCAACGCCGCGGGTGCAGAGGCCTCTCACCTCCGAGCCACGGCCAGTCCAAACGGCGCGCTTAGCCGTTCGCTTCACGTGCCAGCGTCGTCTCTCGGAGCAGAGAGGGATGCGGGGAAACCGTAAAGTTGCTGTACAGCACAGCCTGTAGTTTGTCGTGGAGCCCAGCGCACGCGCAGCGCGAAAAAAATGCACGAGGACAGGCTTGTCGCCGCTTTCCTTGCCGCGGCGCTGACGCAGCGCGCATCGGCAGCAATCAAAAAGGCCATGCATCAGCGGGCGCGCGCGTTTAAAACTCGCACAGGGACTCTCACTGTCGTCGGCTTTTCGCCTGAGCACCCACCTCAGCGAGCAGCCCCCGACGACGGGCCACTACCCGACGACTTCGCGGCGAGGCGCTTGCGCAGGGCGTCGGACACCCCCGCCCCCGACGGCGGCGAAGGGGAGGGCCGCTTGTTGCCCTTGGCCTTGCCCTTGCCGCCGTCCGCGGGCTGCTTCGGGGTGGTCGGCTCCCTCTTCTTCGCGAAGGCGGCGCCCGTCCAGTCCGGCGAGCGGGGTGGAGCCACGACGCCCTTCGCTGCGAACTCGCCCAGGAGGTCTTCGACCTTGTGCGAGCGCCCGTCGTCTTTCTTGAGCGACAAGCTCGTGTTGTAGTTGAAGGGGTCATCAAACTGAAGCTCCACGGCGGCGAACTTGAGGACCGCCTTCGGCTCCTGGTGGTCGAGGCGGCACGTGACCGACCACTCGTCCTCGCTGTCGCCCTTCGCCCCGCTGTAAAAGCCGTCCTTGAGGTCGTCGTCGGTGTACTCGGTGCTCAGGGGGCGCCCCTTCGCGGTGTAGTGCTGGCTTAGCGCCGTGCCGAAAGCTTCCCAAGTCTCCAGGCCCTCGTAGGTGATCGTCGGGAGCGGGGTGTCTGGACCGACCCTGAGCCCCAGGTAGAGCAGGCCCAGCTTGAAAGCCTCGTACCAGCAACCGTCGAGCGGCGTTTCCGGGAAGCGCTCGGGCTCCATCTTGTGGAGCGAGAAGTCGACAAGACCGTTCTGCCTTGTCTGGTGGCGACTAAGGCCGCGAAACAAGACGACGACAGAGACGAGGCGCGACGACGACGACGATGGCGGCGGCGGCGACGGCGACGGCGACAGCGACGGCGACGACGACGACGACGATGACGACGCCAACGACGAAGACGAAGACGACGACGACGACGACGAGGACGACGACGACGACGACGACGGACGACGGCGAAACTGACGTTTATGCTCTTGTGAGCGCGCTAGCGAGGGCGGCGAAAAGCCACGAGGCCAGGGAAGGGCAAAC